GTTTCTTTCTTTGCTTTTTTTTTTTTCTTTTCAAAGATGACTGGTAAGGGGATCTTAACCCTTGACTTGGTGTTGTCAGCACCACGCTCACCCAGTGAGCGAACTGGCCATCCCTATATGGGATCCGAACCCACGGCCTTGGTGTTATCAGCACTGCACTCTCCTGAGTGAGCCACGGGCCGGCCCTCTTCCTTTGCTTTTTTAGCTCTCAGTTTTTTGACAGGAATTTTCCAAAATGATTCTCTAAAATATTTTTCTCTTCAGTTACCGCTTCTTTCAAATCAATCCAACAGCCACAGCAATTTCAACTGCATTATTTTCAAGCCACATTGTTTGGTTTGGGTTCTGTTCTGGAAGGGGTTCAACAGTTAGTTGTGTACTAGAAAAAATTATGGTAGCCACTTTTTAGTAATTTTAGTAATTTAGTAATTTAGACAAAAGAATAGAGAAAAGCACAATGAAGATAAGAAGCTGAGATTAAGGAAAGAAAAAGAGCGAAGGGCATATTTACCTTAAAGTCTGTCTAGCTAGGTGTTCCTGAGTTTGGCAGTACTTGCTTGTCTTCCATGGCCACTGAGACGAGACTCGGGAAGAGACCTAACCACCATTTCCCCAAAGCCCAGGAGTAGGGATGAGTGACATGGAGCACTTCCTAAAATCCTTTTGCCCAGGCACTGGATACAGCTGGAGAATACACTCAGGTCCAGACTCTGTCTCAGGACACTCTAGGAGGACCCTGGACCCTCAGTCACCAGCAACAGGATGGGAAAACTATTTAACTTTACTGAAAAGAACAAAAATATAATGTGGATTTGTAGCCCCAAACCCCTTTATCCCACAACGAAACAAATGGAAAAAACCTGAGATGATCTTGTTGACATATGAATTGATCCTGGTCCACTGGCATCAGGGAAGAGAGTTCCCTCTAATCAGAAATACCTGGGAGGAAATTGAGAGGTGACAATCCTATCTGCATTACCACAACTTCCTGTGAGGACCAGTTTCAGTTCCTATGAAATAAAATGATAAAACTAGAGAGGTATCTATTTCTTCTTCATATTCCTATAGAGATTCATATAGAAAAGGAAGGAATGAAAGTAAAATTCATTGAGTGTCTTCTAATGCTGAAAATATACATACCTAACGACTCAGCAATTCTGCTCCTGGATACATACCCCACAGAAATGAATACGGTGTTCACTTAAAGGCATGCATTAGAACTGTGTTGACCAATAGGTAGCTGCTGGCTATTTATATTTAAAATACTTAAAATTAAATACAAATAAAAATTCAGTTCCTCAATCACACTGGCTACATTCCAAGAGCTTAATAGCCACACACAGCTGCAGTTAACAATTGGACAGCACGGATTATAGAACATTTTCATTACAACAGAAAGTTCTACTGGACAACTCTGTATTAGGATGCCTATGGCAGCAGTATTCTTAAAAACCCAAACCTGTAAACCATCCACATGTCCATCAATAGCAGAACAGATAAATTGTGATATATTCATACCACAGAATATGATAGAGCAATGAGAATGAAAGCTCTAGGATTTATTACGTGTAGTAATATGGATGAGTCTCACAATATCGGATTAAAGAAGCCAGATACATAAGAGTGCGTACTGTAGATTTTGTTTAAGTACAAAGCCAGGGGAAAAGGTCAGGATAGTGGTTACCCTTGGGAGGGTGAAAAGAAGCACAAAGGGGGTTTTGGGGTGCTGGTCACATTCTGTGCTTTGATCAGGGTGCTGGTTGCAGCAATGTGAGGTTTGTATAAATTCAGCTATCTGTACACTTACGACGTGCTCTTTCTGTATACATTATTACACTTCAATAAAACGTTAAAAAAATTCAAAGTCTGCTGTGTGCTGAGCACTTTTCACTTACACGATGCCCTTTGCTTTTAGAATGCGCAAAATTGTTGCTTCCCCTTTATGCAGGAGTCTTTGGAAAGCAGGAAGGAAAGATCCATCTTTCCTTCCGGTATGACCTCCTCTTCACCCTCAACTGGATACTTTGTTGAACACACATACAACAAATGGTTATTAAGGGCGAAATTTTTGAGTGATTTTTATCACTTCTCCACAGATTAAAGAGCGGAAAGGGTTATTAAAAGAAAATGGCGCCAAGAGGATTTCTGGCTCGTTGCCAAACTTTCCAGTTTACCCACCAAGAAAACCTGTCCTGCTATTGGTTTCTTGACAAAAACCTCAACTTCCTTCTGTTTTCCTGAAAGTAAACAGATGACAGGTTCTACCTTAAAATGGTGGTACATCCATTGTAATAAAATGCTGGAAAAAAATTTCAAAACAAAACAATAATGATAATGACTGCATTTCTTAAGTCTGGAGTACTAACCTCCTTGAGGGTGGGAATACTTTTAAAAAATTGCAAGGGATGCTAAATGAGACCCATTTGGGGCAGAAGCAAAGGTGAAAATGTATAAGTTCCCCATTCAGGGTGTCCTAGTCTGGGCTCCTGAGACTCTAAGCAAAGGACTTAGGTTCAGTTAATTTGGGGGGCAATTCCAGGAAGCAGAAGTGAGGGACAGGGGAGAGTGACAGAAGGGAAAAAAGCAATGAATGGTGAGTTAACAAGACAGTCTTGCTGTGAGCAGCTGGGGTTCACTTTCATTGAGGATCTTTTCAGGAATATGTAGAATGTACCCACGGGGTGACAGGGAAGCTGGAGTATTTACTAACCATCCCCCACCCATACTGATTATTCCATTTATATGAATTGTCCTGAATAGGCAAACCTATATATAGAGGAAGTTTCATGCCCTCATCTTTAGTTCAGCTTTCTATAGAAGTAGGTTTCTGGAGCTCCCAGATGACTACTTTCAGTCAAAGTGGTTGCTTAGGGCTGGTGGCTGAAGGGTATGGGCTTTCTTTAAGGGGTAATAAAAATGTTCTAAAACTGTTTGTGGTGATGGTTGCACAACTCTGAATATGCTAAAAAAAAAAACAAACTTGAATTGTACACTTTACATTGGTAAATTGTATGGTATGTAAATTATATCTTGATAAAATTGTTATGAAAAACAATCAGAAGCGTAAAAGCACTATACATGATTAGACTTTTTCCAAAGTCTCATGTTTTAGCCACTATTATTATTAAAACAAAACTTACTCTATTTTTCTTAAAGCAAAACATTCTAAATAAGATCATGCTTTGTTCATTCAATATGAAAGTTTTTGCCATATGCCTGTTCTTCAGTAAATGGAATAAAGTATGTTTCCATATGCCAATACTTGCTTCTCTTCTATCATGAGCTTTTTGTGCCATTTAGCTTTTCTAAGACAAAAGAGAATGACTGGAAACAGGATGTTACATGCAGAAGCACAATATTTAGAACATCTTTAGCTCTGCCTCCTCTAAGTTTAACTCAGCCTTGATCTGAAATAAATTTACCTGATATATAAATGAAGAATTAGAACACATCTTATTACTCACTTGTATAATACAATTCTTGATCAGCTTATCCTCTGCTTTTCAGAAAACATCCAGAATCCCTTCACAAGTTCTAAGGCCCCATGTGATCTGGCCCTTGCTAACTTCTACCCTCTAGGGCTCCTTCCTGCTTCAGGGCACTGCTTAGTTGTTGTTTTTTTCTGGACTGCCCTTCTTGGCATAAGATAGCTGGTCAATAAATATTTGTTAAGTGGATGAATAAACATAATTCTTTTATTCCCTGAATGTAACATTTTCCCTAGATGTAACATATCTTAAATAGATTACAGTCAGTTAAAGGTACCACTTCCTAACTATGAATTCATGGATGAACTTTAGGTGTCAGTGAATCTTCTCATATTTTGCAAAATTGCTTATGTGGGAAGGTGCATTTTCTGGAGAAAGTGTCCCCAAAACATCTATGACACAAAACAAGGTTAAGGACCTGAGTTAAGGGAATAATGAGGCTCAGAGAAAAAGAGATATGGAAGTACAGTGAGGGGCTGAAAGAGCCATAGAATGTGGTCACAGAAGGTAAACTGTTGGGCCGGCCCGTGGCTCACTCGGTAGAGTGCGGTGCTGATAACACCAAGGCCACGGGTTCGGATCCCATATAGGGATGGCCGGTTTGCTCACTGGCTGAGCATGGTGCTGACAACACCAAGTCAAGGGTTAAGATCCCCTTACCGGTCATCTTTTAAAAAAAAAAAAAGAAGGTAAACTGTTACTCTTCTCACCCTTGATGCTAAGAACATCAAGGATCCTTATACTTAAAATAAAAATGAGCTGATGAATGACTTCTTCTCTCACTCCCCACGGGTCTCTCTACAAATGGGTAACTATGAACACAGGCTTTCCTCTGGAGTAGTGGTAATGGTGGTTTTCCACAGCAAAGGTCGTGCTCCCTGGGGGCTTTTTTTTTTTTGGTGATACAGGGATAGAATCCTGGACCTTGGGTTATCAGCACTATGCTCTAACCAACCAAACTAACCATCAGCCTCCCTAGGGGCTTTCTAAAACTACCTATGCCAGCCCCCCAGTCCCCTGCCACATAAGGGGTGGGTTGGATGTGTATGTGTACGTGTTACGTGTGTGTGTGTGTGTGTGAAACACTAACCTAAATAATGTACTCAAAAGAACCCTTCTAAAATCCCAGTCATGTTTTAGCAAATTAAAACTGTTAAAAGAACATGGAATGTCCAAAAGGCAGTTTATCTACTCAAATCAATAAAAACATGTTTGTGGCAATTTTATCATCTTTTCAAAAAATTCCCTTGCCTTACAAATTAGTATGCATTTGTGCATATGTTTACACAGACAAATACACATAATTTATTCTCTTATGTTTTTTTTTTTTTTTCTTTGGTGGCTGGCCCGATGGGGTTCCAAACATTTAACCTTGTTTTTATAACACTGTGCTCAAACCAACTGAGCTAACCAGCTAGCCCCCATGCCCTCATCTTTAGTTCAGCTTTCTATAGAAGTAGGTTTCTGGAGCTCCCAGATGACTACTTTCAGTCAGAGTTAGTGTTTCCAGGAGCCCCTCAGGCTTGACATTAAGACTGCTGGGTTCAGTTGTACTCCCCAAGAGCAGGGTCCATTCTATAGTGCCTGTGTCTTGGAAAAGTTCCACAGGCAACCAGGAGTTCTGCTCTTTTCCACCTGCACAACGAAGATGCCATTTCCATCGCAGCCCAAGTTCACATATCCAGGTGCTTGTAGAGTCTACGGCTTTTCTCTTTTTTATTTCTGTTGCCATGTTTTTTCCAGGGCTTTCCAGCCCCGTTCTCAGAGCTCACAGCAGCTGCAGTCACCATGCCACTCCCAGGCTTGTAACCCATCGCAGCCTGGACTCCTTTGGTTAAAGCTCTCACATTCTCCTAGGAAATAAGAGAAAACATTATCTGACATGTCAGCTGACTATCCTTTAAGGTTACACACAGTATTGCTCATGGACCACTTCAAGATAAACAGGAGTAAACCATTCAGTGCATTTCCATCACACTGCTGCTCTTTCTCTCCCCATCCCTTAAGTGATTTTTCCCAGCATTCTGTCTTTGGTTCATCTCTTTTCCCTCCTCAACTTTATTCAGTCCCATAGCTTCAAATGCATCTATAATCACTTATAATTAGACTTACAATACGAGCTGTTTTCTGGAAATCTCTATCTTGATATCATCTCAACCTGCCTCAACCCAAATTAGAAACTAACTCTAAACAAATGTTAAGTTTACTTAGTAAAAAAGAAATTGAATCCAATATGATTTGAAAGTATATAGCAATATCCCATGATCTTCTTATAATAATAAAATATTACTCTAAAGGCTAAAGTTTAGACATGTGAATTACTATAATTAACAGTAAGTTTTCAGCTTTCTTGTTGTACATTGCCTTTCACTAAATGTCAAAAAATTAAAATCAAATTTCCTTTTTGACAGTTGTAGGCCCAAGAAAGAACTTGTAATCTTTCTGCATACTGGTGAATTTTCTTCCAAATATTGGCACAGATTTGGAAATAACTCAACTGGAAAGCTGCAAATATCTAAGCTCTATCCCAACTTTGCCATTTAAAACAAGTGCCCTTGGATAAGTCACTCAGTCTGCTTGAGCTTCAATGTCCTCAGTGGTAAAATGGGAAATAGGGATAATAATATTTGTTTAGACTGCCTCACAGGCTCATTGTGTGATGCACGGATACAGCACTGGATAAATACAGAAACATTCCCTGGATACGGCTAATGCCCCTGCCTTCTTTTGCTATACTAGTCACTTTAAAGCATTTTAAAACTATATTAGCTACAACTGTATGATTTAACTCTTCAACACATAAATTTGTCCTTGTTTTGGTGGCTGGCCAGCATGGGGATCCAAACCTGTGACCTTGGTGTTATAAGGCTGCACTTTTAACCAACTGAACTAACCAGCCAGCCAATTTGTCCTATTTTTTTTTTTTTCCTTTTTGTCTTTTTTCGTGTCCGGCAACAGATCGCAACCCTCAGTGTCGCGCCAGTACTGGACCGGGACCGGCAACGGGATTGCAACCCTCGGTGTTCCGGCAACGGATCGCAACCCTCAGTGTCGCGCCAGTACTGGACCGGGACCGGCAACGGGATTGCAACCCTCGGTGTTGCGCGAGCACCTCGCTCAGCCAGTGAGCGGCCGGTCTGTATGTGGGATCCGAACCCTCGGCGGGAGAGCCACCGCGCTCCCAAGCGGCGCACTGTAGCAGTGCGCCACCGGGCCGGCCCCAATTTGTCCTATTTTTAAATGCTGCCTATGAATTGTAGCTGTGAAGTAAGCAACTAAAGTTTTAATATTTTAAAGTGAAGACATTTATAAATGAAGTCTACATTCGACTTTTTCTAGCACTTTCTATCACCAAATGTGTTGACTCAGAGAAAAGACAACTCACTACATGGGTGAAAATATCTGCAAATCATAAATCTGATAAAGGACTTGTACCCAGAATATACAAAGAATTCTTACAACTCAACAATAATAGACATCTCTCCAAAGAAAATAGACATGTGCCAATAAGCACATGAAAAGATGCTCAATGTCATTAGGGAAATACAAATCAAAACCATATAAGACACCACTTCATGGGGAAGAAGGAAAAAAGATTATCACACTTCACGCATATTAGAATGGCTAAAATAAAAAGACTGAAAATAATGAATATTAGCAAGGATGTGGACAAATTGGAAACCTCATACATTGTTGGTGGAAACGTAAAATGGTACAGCCACTTTTGGAAACTTTGGCACTGCCTCAAATGCTAAACATGGAGCTACAATATGACCCAGCAATCCCATTTCTAGATATATACCTAAGTGAATTAAAAACCTATGTCCACACAAAAACTTGTACACAAATGTTCATAGCAGCATCATTCATGATAGCCAAAAAATAGAAACCCAAATGTCCATCAATCAACTGATAAATGGATAAACAAAATGTAGTGTATCTATACAATGAAATATTATTTGGCAATAAAAAGGAACAAAGTACTGAGACATGCTACAACATAGGTGAATCTTGAAGATATTATGCTAAATAAAAGAAATCAGTCACAAAAGGCCACATATGACTTCATACATATGAATGTCCAGAATAGGCAACTCTATAGAAAGAGAAAGTAGATTACTGGTTGGCAGGGGCTATGGGGAAGAGGGAATGGGGAATGATGGTTAATGAGTATGGGGATTCTTTTGGGGGTGATAACTGTTTTAAAACTGTGATGATGGGTGCACAACTTTGTGAATAAACTGAATCGCACACTTTAAAAGGGTGTGAACTTAAATTTTGTTTATGGTAATATAAACTTAAAATTTGTTTATGGTATGTAAATGATATTTCAATAAAGTTGTTATAAAAAGTGTGTTTGATCAGAAGTTAAAGAAAAACACTAAAACTTACTTGATGGAAAAAAGTTTTGTCAACTATATTTTCAATCTGCTTTGCTTTTTTATTTCTCCCTGGCTGCATTTTTATTTCATCAGCATTCATTTTGTTCTCTAGGAGTTGCTGGTGTTGATGCTGAAAGGTTACAGGATCTCTTTCAGGAGGAGGGTGACAGTATAGCAGCTTACCCTACAAAGACAAGATAAATGATAACAGTGTATCATAAGTGCCATCTGTGTTACCCTAGAAGAAAGGACAAGTCTTCAGGGGAGACATCTCCAACCAGTCACACTCTGATGGAGCTTTCTGCTTTTTAAGCTAGCTGAATTAAGTTTTGGTCTACTGCAACTGAAAAGTCTTAACTCTAATACACCAATGACGTATTAGAAAGTGTTCTAGAGCCCTAGCTCTTCCCATGACCCCCCAGACTAGATTGAAATCTCTTTCTTCTCTGTGCTGCTTTTTACCTTGTTTGCATTTCTACTGAAGTATTCTTTAGCGCGCTTATAAGATTACACTTGTGGTGAATATTTTCCAAAACAAAAACCAGGACACAATTGGACAGTTATGGCTGTACTAACGGGGATATTGGGCTAAAATACTAAAATCAAGATAGTTCCTAGATTACTGTTTATGGGGATGCAGTTGCTCACTGGGTACAAATTTGCTTCTTTCCACCATAAATATCCTAAAAGGTGTTACTATTATTAACCCATCTTTGCATCCTCCACAGTTAAATAGGAAATGAATAAATGATTCATCCATACAAATTGTATTAACTACTTTCTCCCTGATCTAAAGGCAAGACAATATGGCTGCCCACTGTAATTTCTACATTCCAAGAGCTCCACTGATGTGGTCTTGAGAAGAGGAGGGAATAAAGCCAAATCCTCACACCTAATTATTACCAGGGGCCTGTGATACTTATTTGTGGAAATAATTAAAATTAATACATAACAATCATTGAGGGCTTATTATATGCCAGGCATTGAGTTTAATGCTCTCTCTCTCTCTCTCTCTCTATATATATATATATGTACATGTATTGTTTTCACTTATTTCTCATAATAATCTCATGAGATAGGCAATGGTAACCCCCATTTTACTGATGAGGTAAACCCAAAATAGCATGTTCTCATTTGTGATAAGAGAATAATCACCTCACAAACTTTTTTGGTGTTTGGTGGCTGCAAACCCTTGACCATGGTACTATAACACTGTTTTGCATTTTTAATAAGATAACACATGTAAAACATTTAGAACTATTCCTAGTAGAGATAGCTTTGAAAAATGTTAGCTATTATTATTATTGCTTCTGGATGAGTATGAGGAGACAGGCATGTAAACAGCTATAATACAAGGAAGATTGTGACAACAGCTGCAATAGAAACAAGTAAAGGGCTGTAGGAGATGGGAAAACCAGATGCATAAATTGATAATTTTCACTAATAACAGGTGTTCAGAGATCTTCATCTTTTCTTTCTTAATATGTTATCAGTCACTTCTATCATTTATATGATGTTAAACATAACCCTAGTGTATAACACAATCTTAATGAAAAAATATCTCCTTTATAATTTAACAGGTGGGCATTACCTAAGAACACAGGATGTACAGAAAAAGATGATCTGCTTATTCAGGAGTAATTAGAAGCAAGGTTCACTTACATTGACATAATCCTTTAGGATATAGCGTGCAGATCGAGGCTGGTCTGGTTGTCCATGTGCGGTCATGAATCCTCGCATATCTGTGAAGAGAAATTATTTTTGCAAAATCTCAGAAGACAGAATATCACAGATAACTGAAGTGATATACACTTTGTCCTTTCCATTACTACACTATGAACTCTTATTCCTATCTTTTAAAAAATTAATTAGTTATCAATATATTATTTTTTTTTCTTTTTAAAAGATGACTAGTAAGGGGATCTTAACCCTTGACTTGGTGTTGTCAGCACCACGCTCACCCAGTGAGCTAACCGACCATCCCTGTATGGGATCCGAACCCGTGGCCTTGGTGTTATCAGCACCGCACTCTCCCGAGTGAGCCAAGGGCCGGCCTCTACATTAACTTTTTTAGTATTAAAAACATTTGATAGTCCAGGAGAATAGACTATCTCGTTATGTCTGATATCCTAAAGACCACTTAGCACCATGC